AAGAAACTTGTAGCAAGACATGGCTTGGAGGATCCCGGGCCTCTCAGCCCCTGCGTCTTCCATTTGAATTTGAGGCCTCAAGAAGCCAGTTTTTTGAATGCCACTTCAGAGGAAAACCTCCATCAGAGCACTTTCCCTGTTGCTGGTCCTTACCTCACATGACCTCCCACTTCACATGACCTCCCACCTGAAGAAGAATCAGCACCAGTTCTTGGAGGGTATTTTCAGCGGGGCTCGAATTTCGGGAGGATGGGGGATGAGAGGGGTAGAAAAACCCTAGGAAAATTAGCTTTCATTTGCTGTGGTTCATCTCAGACATGTACCTCAAGACCTGTCTGGAAGGATCTATGCCCAACACAGAGTTTACTAACTGTAAATCCTACAAATGAAAACAGTTGCCCAGACGATGGGCAGCCTCGTCTACATTGTGAGTTCCAGACCAGTCAGAGCTATATAGTGAGACCCTGTCTCAAAAACAAAGAAGAAGCGGGGGGGGGGGGGGATGACAGATGAGAGAGAGAGAGAGAAAGGGGGAGAGAGAGGGGAAGAAAGGATGGAATAAGAGTCTATAAACAAGGAAGTTGACAACAAGTCAATTGAATAAAACAATAACCACATAAAGCAAAAAAAAAAAAAAAAAAGGATTCCTGATTTTCCTGGTTTATTTTGTAGGTTTTGGTGGGTTGGTTCACAAGCACACGTGCACATGTGAGTGCACATGTGAGTTGCACATGTGAGTACAGGTGTGTGCAGAGGCTGGAGTCATTGGCAGTTGCACATGTGAGTGCACACGTGAGTTGCACGTGTGAGTGCAGGTGTGTGCAGAGGCCAGAGTCAGTGGCAGTTGGAAGCCGCCAAACCTGAGTGTCGGGAAGCCAACGCTAGTACTCCCTAAGAGCAGTACACACTCTTAACCACCATGCCATCTCTCCGACCTCCAATCTATGTTTGTGGGTTTTCTAGGACTTTTATTTTTATGTGTATGAATGTTTGTGTGCATGTATGTATGTGTACCCCATAAGGGCCTGGTACCTTCAGAGGCCAGAAGAGGGCATCTGAGACCTTGGGACCAACGTTGCTGTCTGTGAGACACCACGGGAGTGCTGGGAACCAAAGCAAAAGCAGAGAGCCCTCAACTCAGGGCCAGCAACACTCCAGCCCTGTGAGCTGGGTTTTTAAAACTAGGCTAGCTTAGAAGCAAAATGGCCATCTTAATTGTGTGGCGGGGGAAGGGGTTGTGTTTTTGAGAGGCTGGGAATTGAACTTAGGGCTCACACATGCTACACAAGCACTCTACCACTGAGCTACATTTCCTGCTCAAAAAAAAAATTTTTTTAAACAAAATGCAAATGATGCGCTGAGCAAAGGCTGCTTCATAGCCGTTGCCAAATAGACATTAGCTATTGCATGGTCCAAAAACAGAAAAAAAAATGGATTCACCCTTAAGTTTGAAGACACCACACCATGGCCCACCTGGTCTGTTTGTGGTTGTGCCTATTTTGTTATACAGATTTGGTTTGCTGGTTTTTATAGAGGTTTATTTTAATGATGTGAATGGGGGGTAGGTGTGTGGGTGTGAGTACAGGTACCTACAGAGGCCAGAGAAAGGTACCATCCTAAGCCAGGTGTAGTGGCACACACCTTTAATCCCAACACTCGGGAGGCAGAGGCAGGCAGATCTCTGAGTTCGAGGCCAGCGTGGTCTACAAACATGAGTTCCAGGACAGCTGGTCTGTATAATGTTACTTGTATGTATGTTTTCGGGGCTGACCATTTGGCACTGGACAACCAATTAGTGTTTTCTTCCCTGGCAAAGACCACCTCTCCCACTCCCAGCTCTCCTTGGCTGCCTAAAATTCTTTGTGTAGGGCTAAGGCCTTGTGGGCATTTCCCTACAAGTTTGGCAGGTCCAGCTCACACTGAGGGAAGTTCTGTTGCTGAGACTTGATGTGTGTGGCTTCTGATGTCACTGGGAAACACAATCTGGCAGCAAAGCCCCTGGTCCTGCTCTCACAGTCTTTCCGCCCCCTTTCCTGCAGTGCTCCCTCAGCCTTCGGGGCAGGAGTGTTTTGTGGGTGTCCTCAGTGAGACTGGGCTCCACCTGTTGCAAAGAGAAGTTTCCTGGCTAAGGAGTGAAGACTACACTGACCTGTGGGAATACGGACAAATGTTTGTAGATTCACATTAGGGATGATGCTGGATTAGTAAGTTAGAGGCTGTCAATGTAAGGACAAATTTGTAGATTTTCATTACGGATGATGCTGGTTTAGTTAGAGGTTGTAAATAAATTTTCCTCCAGTAACCATGACTTTACTAGGACCGAGTAGTCGGCTAGCTTTCTACCACAAGAGATAATTTCCCTCTTGTTGAACAGGTCTTAAGTCCAATTTAAGAACTGCTGGTTACCGCCAAGGTACATACATGTACCACACACGTGGTTATTGTGCCGTGCTGGTCAACAGTCTGGTTCATGAGTATCATAGCTGGCTAGGGCTGTTGTTTGACTCCCTCCTTTGGAAGTTCCATTGTGTTGTCATTATTTTTTAAAGAAATAATATTTTTTACTGACTCTCTGAAAATTATATAGATGGGAACTTGTATAAAGTTGTATAATGAGATCACTTACTGCTCTTGCAGAAAACCTGAGTTCAGTTCCCAGCACCCACATCAGGCAGCTCACAACTGTCTGTAACTCCAGATCCAGCAGATCCAGCGCTCTCTTCTGCCCTCAGCAAGGACCTGATGCACATCAACTCAAACAGGCGCACATACAAATAAGCAAAAGAATATTTTAAAGAAAGAACATTGTGTAAATTATATACAGTGCATTTTTAATGATTTTTTTTCTAAATTTTCAAGTCTAACTGTAAAACGTTTGGGTTGGAGAACTAAAAAGTAAACACCAAGCTTCTTTTAGCCCCCGCTCAAATTAAGAACTGTAAAGTCGGGGGCACTGAGAGGGCTCAGCAGTCAAAGGCACTTGTTGTAGAGTCTGACTCCCCGAGTTCAATCCCCAGGACCCCCACATGGTAGAAGAGAACACACACGCACGCGCGCACACACACACAATAAACGTGACTTTTTAAATTATTTTATTTTATTTTTAATATTTATTTATTATGTATACAATATTCTGTCTATATGCCTGCAGGCCAGAAGAAGCCACCAGACCCCATTACAGATGGTTGTGAGCCACCATGTGGTTGCTGGGAATTGAACTCAGGACCTTTGTTTTTTTTTTTTTTTAAATTAGGTAACCCTCTCTTAATCAAATGAACATTGCTCCATGTATCTGGATGGGTAACGGCGTATTTATACTTTGTTGACACAGGGTCTCACTTTGTTTTTTTAAGATTTATTTATTTATTATGTATACAACATTCCTTCCATGTTTGCTTGCATGCCAGAAGAGGGCGCCAGATCTCATTATATATGGTTGTGAGCCACCATGTGGTTGCTGGGAATTGAACTCATGACCTCTGGAAGAGCAGTCAGTGCTCTTAACCTCTGAGCCATCTCTCCAGCCCGAACTCAGGACCTTTGGAAGAGCGGGCAATGCTCTTAACCTCTGAGCCATCTCTCCAGCCCCAATAAACGTGATTTTTAAAAATGTGAAGTTAGGCCAGGGCTGTAGCTTAGTGGTCGGGCACACACTGGAGAAGAAGGGAGCGGACAGGAGCAGCGAGGAGAGGAAATGGGGAGTTGTGTTTTTCTGGAGCTTTTAGTGGAGGTAGACACAGTGGTTTGTGCTCACAGACACTCGGGATGTGGAGGCAGAAGGGTTACATGATCCAGCACAGTTTAAATAAATAAATGAGGAGGCTATTGGTTTTTTATTTATTTTTATTATTGAGAAGTCACTTTCTTGTTTCAGTGTTTTGCCCCTCCTTTCTGTGAAGCAAGTACAAACCCCAGGCAGGAAGATGAATTCGGACTTTGGCATCCCAATAAATTTGTACCTAAGGAGGCCATTAAAAGCCAAGAATGTCACTGTCCTGCAGTTAAAGGTTGATGTCAGCCCCAAGGTCTTCTTTTTTGCTAAAGCTTCTATGATTCTCAAATACACATGCGCGCGCATACATGTGCGCACGCGCACATACACACACAACGTACTTTGAAAAATCCAAGATCTGGTCATTATTGCCAAATTCACCTTGCATAGCCCTTCGCATGAACGTCACAAAAGCCATGTTCTCCGGAATAGCTGTCCAGGTGAAGCACACTGGGACGATGGCTCAGTAGGCAAAGTGCTCTATGTGCACGGGAGGACCAGAGTTCGGATCCCTAGCACCCACACAAAAGCTGGACAAGGTTACACTAGTCTGTGAGCCCGGCACTGGGGTGTGGAGACAGTCACATTCCCCGGAGTTCAGTAGCCAACATAGCCTATTGGTGAGCTCCAGGTTCAAAAAGAGACCCTGCATCAGAAAATAAGGTGGACAGTAATAGAGAAAGACGCCCAGTGGTGACCTCTGACATTTGTATGTGCATATGTACACACACACACATACACACACACATGCACACACACATGCACACACAGAAATAACAACAACAAAACCCACAAGTGTCTGTGCCTTCATTGTCCCTTTTGAAATGGCTGCGTGCATGGCAGAGTCCATTACTCACTGGAGCCCGTCCTTCCTGGTTGCGATTCATTTGACTTTTGATTATCTCCGCGTGGATTACCCAATTTAGAGCTCACAGCCACTGCAAATCCCTAGTTCCCCAGAGTCCTCTTCCTGCCAATCAGTCCATATTTAGGCTCCCTCCCCTTACCACAAGTTAATGTATGGTTAGCCATTTTAAGCAATATTAGCATTAGATATAATTAGGAAGAAAATTAACTTTTTCCCCTAATCATATAGAAATTGTTGTATTTTGTGCTACGTTTAAACAATTACCCTTCCGGACTCCATCATTAATGTGAATAATCTAAAGTAGCTTAAATGGAAATTCTATCAGGTTTAAACAAAGCATTTTACTATCGTTCCTTTTAGGAGTGGAAAACATCTTAAGAGGGGCCCAGGAGCTGGATAACATCATCAAGCAAGGATACTTGGAGAAGAAAAGCAAAGGTATTAATCGAACCCATGAAGAGTGGGCCATTCCAGGAGGCGGGTGGGGGGAGGGAAAAAGGGAGGTGGATGTTGCTAGACTATAGGATGCCTTCCTGGCACTGTGCTAGGCCAATGTAAGGCAAAAGGCCAGGAAGTGAAGGGAGTGTAGTACTATTTAGTCGGTTTCAACCTAATAGAGAGGGCCAAATCTTCAACCAGTTGTGGGCTTTGTTGGGATTGGAACTAGCCCAGCTGTGGCATCTTTAGTGGCATGTGGGAGGCAGAGACTGTCAGACCTTTATGAGTTGGGTGGGTGGGTGGATGAATGGATGGATGGATGATTTTCTTGTCCTCATCTCTCAGTGTGCTCCCACAAAGAGTGACGCTTTAGCCAGGGAGTGGTGGTGGCGCACACCTTTAATCCCAGCACTTTGGAGGTGGAGGCAGGTGGCTCTCTGGGTTTAAAGCTAGTCTGGTCTACAGAGTAAATTCCAGTTCCAGGACAGCCAGGGCTACACAGAGAAACCCTGTCTCACCAAAAAAAAAAAAAAAAAAAAAAAAAAAAAAAAGACACTGTTTTTTTCTCAAGAATGTAGTCTTTCCAAGTGTGAAGCAACCTGCTTCCAAATTTCAGACATGCCCAGCTCCTGACCCTTTAAGTCATCCAATTAAAATAGGTGCTACAAGGCCCATAGTCCTTGTTTTAATGTTCAACAAGCAAATTGGTTTATCACATATTCTCAAAAAGAAAAAGAAGAGCCAGGCAGTGGTGGCGCACTCCTTTAATCCCAGCACTCAGGAGACAGAGGCAGGAGGATCTCTATGAGTTCGAGGTCAGCCTGGTCTACAAGAGCTAGTTCCAGGACAGGCACCAAAGCTACAGAAAAACCCTGTCTCAAAAAAACAAAAACGAACAAAATAATAAAGAGAGAGAAGAGGAGGAGGAGGAGGGAAGGGAGGAAAGAAAGAAAGAAAGAAAGAAAGAAAGAAAGAAAGAAAGAAAGAAAGAAAGAAAGAAAGAAAGAAAGGAGGGAGGGAGGAAGGGAGGGAGGAGAGAGAGAGAGAGAGAAAGAGAGAGAGAGAGAGAGAGAGAGAAAGCCCATCTCCTGGCCATGGCATGTAGGACCTGGAGTATCGTCGTTTTGGTTCACAGAAAGCAACACATAAGGAAATAATAGCAGTTGGGTATAATAATGCATGCCTATAATCCCAGAACTAGAGAGGCTGAGGCAAGAGGAAAGCCGTGAGTTTCAGGCCAGCCCGGATTACCCAGGGAGACTTTGTCTCCAAAAAGCAAACAAACAAAGATATCATAGAAAGTTTGAAAAATGCAGGGTGAGTCGTGAACCTAAAGAAAGCCAGCTAGATGACAAGACAGCGTGGAAGCAGGGAGGAGCAACCTTACTGAGATGCTGGGCCTGGGATGGAATTCATCCTCACCACTCAGTCAATACGGGATAACCTGTGGGAGTGAAAAGGAGGGTTTTACAGTCCATTAACCTGGGAAATAAAACAATAACCCACTCGACTGTGCTGCTGGATTTTACAGACTCTTGGGCGATTCTAGTTACCTGAATTTATGTCTCTTCTCTCCCTTCCGCGTAGATCACAGCTTCTTTGGGTCAGAGTGGCAGAAGCGATGGTGTGTTGTCAGCAGAGGCCTCTTCCTCTACTATGCTAATGAGAAAAGTAAGTGTTCTCCGTTCACACAGCAGCTCCCTCGCTCCTGGATGCCAGCGCTTCGTAAATTCTTGAGCACTTAGATGTCTAGATAACAGTCCTTAACTAACACCCGGAGAGTGAGGTGCTTAGGAAAGAAATAGACCTGGGTAACTAATGCCTTGCCCACCGCCAAAAACACGGGCCAGTCTAGCACTGTTTTCCTCTTTAAACACTAAGTGTGGTCAAAACATGGAATACAGGTCTATAGCCCTGGTTCTTTACAGTGAGATGGGGGGCAGAAGTTATAATGAGATAAAAGTCAGAAATTACAGGAAGATGGAAGGGAAAAGCAGGAGAATCCCCCAGAACCGTTAGACCGGCTAGCCTGATGTACACAGCAGCAAACAAGATTCCCTGTCTCAAGCAGGTGGACAACAAGAACCAACCACAAAGGCCGTGCCCTAACCTCTGTGTGTGCATTGTGGCACGCATGCGCCTGCACTCACCAACAGGACCACACACATACATACACACACAAGTGAGAACACTTATACACATAGCGATGTTAAAACAAGACAAACAACAGCAAGGAAAAGATTAAGGTGTCAGGCAGGATAGCACACTCCTGCAATCCCAGCACTTGGGAGACTGAGGCAGGAGGAGCACATGTGGAAGGAAGATCAGCCTGAGCTATGTAGCAAGACTCTGTCCAGAGCCAAGAACTGGAGCTATAACTCGGTGGCAGAGCACTTGCCTGGTGTACGCGAGGACCTGAGTTCAGTTCCTACCACCACACACAAAATAATAATATAATGACAATAATCCAGAGAAAGATTTAAGCAGTGTTTAGCAATAGCCCATAAGTAGACTCTTAGGGCTCAAACTTTCCAAGAGCACATTCACAGCTATCGGGAATTAGGAGTCCCGTGGACATCACTGGAGCCACAGATTGTTGAAGCCTAAATAGTTGTTGTACCCAAGAGACACCTTCAGCCAGATGGCAGCAGTACCGGCAAAGTGTTGACTCAGAGGCAGTGTCTTAATGAGCCACCGCGTGCTATCCCTACAAGACTGCTCATCCCTTTGAACGCAGCTACTTAGGCTCTGAGAAGGAAGAGAGGGTTTCAGCACACAGTTGGTGGGAGCTACAAAGAAATACAAACTAAATGTTAGTATTGTAGGCCGGGCAGTGGTGGCGCACACTTGCAATCCCAGCGCTCAAGAGGCAGAGGCAGGAGGATCTCTGTGAGTTCAAGGTCAGCCTGGTCTACAAAGAGACTTCCAGAGCCAAAAAAAGAAACTAAGAGAAACCCTGACAAAATAAAAAAGAAACTAAACAAAACAAAATGAATACCAGCTCCGAAAGAGGAAAGAAACTGGAGGGAGAGGAGATGAACCAAGGGCCCGGCCACCTTCATGCAAAGACCAGTGGTAGAGCTACAGAGGTCTTAGATTTGCCTTCCAGTCATGTGCTGTCTGTCCCTCCCCTTTCCTTTCTAAACTGCCTCACCCTACCCCTCCTCCTATCCCTGGCTTCACCTTTGGACCATTGTAGATTCCTCAGAATCTTTCCCACTCAGGGGTACTGGGAGCTGACGGCAGCGTGCTGGAAACCTGAGCAGCAGAAGCTCTGTGGCCTGCAGCCCCCAGCTCACTTGCAAGTTCAGCAAGTGTGGGTTCTCCCCTGGAGGCACAACTCAGTTGGTAGATGCTTGCCTAGCATGCATGAAGCCCTGGGTTCGATCCTCAGCACTACATAAGACCAGAGTGATGGCGCGTGCCTGCAACCTCAGCACTCACAAGGTGGAGTGTGGAGGATCAGGAGTTCAAGGCCATCCTCCGCTATGTAGGTAGCTAAAGGCCCGCCTGGGCTTTATAAGACTCTGTCTGGAAAAACTTGGCTAATTGATTAATTAGTTAATTCTAGACCTACAAAGCAGTCACTCCGTTCTTCAAACTAGTCTGATATTTGGACCACTATAAAACTTCATTTCCCTTGCTTTTAAATAAGTGATTGGGGTGCTGGATAAAGTGCGCTATGGTTAAGAGCACTTGTTGCTCTTGCAAAGGACCCAAGTTCAGCTCCTAGCACCCATGCAGTATCCCATAGCCATCCATAACCCCAGTTCCAAGAGATCTGATATTCTCTTCTGGCTTCCGAAGACATCAGATATACTCATGATACACATATATGCATGCAAGAAAAACACCCAGACATGCAGAATTAAAGTAAATGTCTTTTAAAAATGCTGATCAGTCATGGCATATCTGGGTATAAAGCCAAGTCTGTTCATTCAGAACTCAGGTCTGACGGTAAGAGGGGAGGGAGGGGAAAACAGAGAGCAAGAGGCTTGGAGACTTTTATTGACCATTTTGTCGTCAGGGTGAAATAAAATCTGGCGACCAAAGCAACAACAAAACATTTTAGTGGCCAGTTAGAGCAAGGAGGGATGCTTTAGCACAAAAGATTCTGGTGTCAGAAAGCACTGCTGCGTGGCTTCCCTCTCTCCAGTCACTCCTTATTGTGCCCAGGACATTTTCTCAGCGGGTATAGTGTTTGTGTGTTTCTTTTAGCTCAACCAGGTAAAAATCGAACCTTTCCCTCTCTCGCTCTCCCCCCTCCCTCTCTAGCCCTCTGTTTGTCCTTCAGTTGCCACCGTTATCATCCAAAGACATCTGAGGCCCTGGGTTCAGTCTTCAGCCCTGGACGGGGTGAGGGAAAGACACAATTCCAATTCCCTCCTCCTGACAGGGGGCACCAACACCATCCAGTCACTGCGGTTTCTGCCCTCGACATGTTCTGTCTGAACCACAGAACACAGGCACAACCTCTCTCGGGGAAATAGGGAGAGTTCAATACTGTATTTCTTTTTCTTTTAGAATAGAGGTGACTGGCAGAGGGGCATCTCTTTCCCTTCTTTGCGGTCCCTTTCTCTGTTTCCTTCCTCATCCTCTCCTGATGCATTACTTGGCTACTTCCCAGTTTACCTCTTGGAAGAGGATCCAGCGCTGAATTATTCTCCCTCCAGCAGAAATTCCTTCCTAGCCTACAGGGGAGGGGAGCAAGCGTTTGAGGTAGGATATGGAAGGAGATTCAGGGACTTGAGGATAACCCCCGTGCTGCTGTGCCCCTCCTTGAACGTGAACTCTGCTGGCCCTGATAATAATGTTTGGGCTCTGTAATAGCTTTCAAGAGCCCCGCATTTACAACCACTCTCCCTGCTGTAATAACTCCCGCTCTCGGTTATTATAGATCTCTTAACATTCTAATAAATTCCCCGTCTCTCTTGTACACTTTTGGGAAAATAACCTTTCATGTTGGATTTCCCTTGCTTGGTGCTGATCTGTCTGACTGTGGCTGTAGCCTCTTCCCAGGCGTCCCTAATAACCCTTCTCCGACAGCTGTTGCTCCTCAGGGATGTAACAGCTGTTTGGTGCTTTTTCTTTTCCATCCCAGAGAAGATGCCTTCCCTTAGCTGTTGTGTCTCTCTAGAGATACAGGGAGCTTTGCTCTTTTGCAGGCAAGCAGCCCAAAGGGACCTTCCTCATTAAGGGCTACAGTGTCCGGATGGCCCCCCACCTGCGAAAAGACTCCAAGAAAGAATCGTGCTTTGAGCTGACCTCCCAGGATAGACGCAGCTATGAGGTAGGATGGCCTGGTGATCTTTACTAGCCTTGCGTTTCTCCTTGCTGTTGCATGTGAGCGCATGGTCGCTGGTCACTGTGCTGGATTCCGTCCTCCGTGACACCCGCTCACTTCTCCCCAGTTAAGACCTGCCCCCCTGCTCCATCCTTTGCTGTGTCATGCCCCTCCCCTCTCATCTGTTGCTATGCTCACCCTGGGTACCACATTTACCTGGCTTTTATCTCTTTACCCCTCCCCTCTCTTCCCAGTATCATCCCACAGGTGAGATTTCTTGTTTATTGCAACCCACAGCCCAATTCCTTACTCACAGGCTGATTTCACGACAGTGTTTCCTATTCTCTCTGCTCTTCCAACTGGTCAACCTCGTGTCCTTCCATGAAACCTAAAATAAGCAACATTTAACTACAGAGTGAAAAATAATTTTCCCCATGTTTGCCTTTCTGTCCAAAACCTCCCCCCTGGGAGCGGATATGCTGTGTCTCTTGAAGGATTTCCAAATCCGTGATGGCAAGGGTTTCTGAGGAGAGATAGTGAAGTCTGAGGGCCTACAAAGTCTTGTCAATGAGAGACTTGTTCCTCATTATGGTAATTTTTATATATTTCTGAATGTTTACTAGTCCTTTTTAAAACAATTAAAGCTATGTCTGAGTGAATATTTTGATGTTCATGAAGTATGTATTTTACATGTTATGTATATTGTCTGTTCATCTGTAGATAATCTTTATTTTATTACATCTTCACTAAAGGTAGGTAACTGAACTTTAGGAAGAAGAAGAATACATTCAAAAATTAAACTAAAAATTTAAAGAACCCTTTGGCTTTTCCAATTCTCCTCAGTGCTCAACTTTTTGCCCTTGGTAGTGTTTTCACCATTAATTTGATAAAATGATCTATGTATTCATTATGCAATGTCCAGATGTTTTAAAGTCTAACTAAAACTTCTCTATAGTTTCCTTTATAGACATTATGTAACCAATGTATGCACTCAGCATGTTTCTAAGCTAGTTTTATTATTAAATTTTAAGATTACTTCATCCAGATAAAAGTTTATGTGAAAAGTTCAAGCCCGTATCCCTAGAGACACTTCCTAGAACTGTCTTTTTCAGAAACCATGAATATGCTAGACAGATGACTCAGGTGGCTCATGGTCGCTGCACAACCATGGAAACCTGAGTTCAAATCCAGAACCCATGTAATAAGCTAGATACGGTCTCACGCACTTCTTTAAGCCCCGTGGTGAATAGAGACTCAGGGATGGCTGGGGCTTGCTGAGTGCCCGGAGTGCCAGTCCAGTCTAAAACACGAGCTCAGGGGTTGGGGAGAGACTCTGCCTCAAAGAAATAATGTTGAAAGTGATAGAGGAAGACATCAGTGCCCTCTGGCCTCTGCGAGTATGCAAAGTGTGTGTGAACTTGCTTGTACACACACACACACAGAGAGAGAGAGAGAGAGAGAGAGAGAGAGAGAGAAGAGAAGAGAGAGAGACAGAGAATGAGAATGATAAAGCAGGAACCTGTATCTTCTTAAGCAGCATATAGTTTGTTTGTTTGTTTGTTTCAGTTTTTTGAGACACGGTTTCTCTGTGTAGCCCTAGCTGTCCTGGCACTAGCTCTTGTAGACCAGCCTGTCCTCAAACTCACAGAGATCCACCCACCTCTGCCTCCCGAGTGCTGGGATTAAAGGCATGTGCCACCACTGCCCAGCTTACAGCATGTACTTTTGTTGAACCCTGGTGGCCATAGAATTGAAATGTTCTTTCATCTCAAGTTGATTCATTGTAAAAATTACCAAGGGTTGGTGCTTGGCCACTCTGTTTTGCGGTCTGCTTGCTGCCAGTCTTTGGCCCATTGACTCTCAACCATCACTCTGAGCCATGGATTCTTCCTTTGGTCCGTTCTTCCTCTCTTTATTTCTTCCCACAGCCATCACCGTAGCTGAGTCCCTGTCACCTCACCCAGAGGGCTACTCCGACAGCTGTCTAATTGGTCATCAGTCTCCAGGTGTCCTATTCCAACCCTTCCGAGCCACAGCCACTGGAAGAATCACCCTCACTCTGCAGGAACTGGCAGTGACTTCCTGTTGCCTATATTTTCAGTCTAGGCAGAGCCCCCTGCCTGACCCTCTTGCTCTCCCCCAGACCTGTTCTCCAGTCCTCCTAACTTGCTTGCGGCCACGCCTCTGACATTCTCACTGCTCACAGGGCTCCTATGGCTGAAGTGCTCATCTTCCCACATCGCTTTCTACCGACTCTCTAAAAACAACCAAACATTGCTTCAGCAATCACAAGAAGTGTTCCCTGCCTCTTCTCAGCATCCTGCTGCGGGGTGGGCGTCTAGCTCGTTGTAGAATCCTTAGCTTCGCATGTGCAAGGCCCCAAGTACCTAACACCGGAAAACAAACCGCCTTGCTGTCAAAGGCCCCGCCCTTGGAGTATTCCCATCTCATGTCCATGCTGATTTGGTTTGTTTGTTGTTTTTTTTTTTTCTCTTCCTATGAACTTTTATCCCATAAATCTCTGATGAAGAAGTAATCAGATGAGCCGTATACATGAGCGCAAATGTCCTGACCCCAAGCAGTCCTCCCTGGCCTGGAGAACTGCCGAAAGCAGAAGCAGCTGCATGAGATGTTTTGGCCTTTTTTTCTGAGTCGTAAGCAGTTGGAGAACCCTAGGCTTAATGCTTGAGTCTGAAACCCGGATTCCTTTGACTCTGTCTAGCAGGAGTCCTGACCATTCTAGTGAAGGTGACGATTAAATTAATCCCCTCATTTTTCTCCAGTTTACAGCTCTTAGTCCAGCTGAAGCCAGAGACTGGGTGGATCAAATAAGTTTCTTGCTAAAAGGTAAGAGCCACCATTTCAAGTATGGATGCTACGTGAGTGGATTTGCAGTTGAAGTTATGTTTTGAAAGTTTCAACTAAAGGTTTCCGTATGTGGTTTTTCCCGACCTTCTAGTCTTGCCCAGCCCGTATTGCCCTTATTTATAAGAGCAAATATGGATGAGAAGACGAGGCAGTCATCTGGAGGTCCCCTCTGACATCATAGCTTACAAGTCTGTAATACTAGTCATCATTTGGGAAAGGTTCTGAAAGTCAGCTTAGCCTGTCACTGTCTGCCAGCCCTTTTTATTCTGGAAAGGTAAATCATAATAGCCATCATCTAGTTGAGATCCAGAACTATCCACCTCCTCCTCCTCTTTTTAATTTTTATTTTTGTTTAGTAGAGTTCTAGACTCATCTTGGTGGCCATCAGGGACGCTAGACATTAAAAATAAATTGCTGTTTCCCAAGCCACAATAAAATGTTCCTTGCCTTGGGATGGCAAGTCCTACCTGAAGAGGTTAAATGGCTGTTCTTAGAGTACCCTCTACTGGCCAGCCTGCAGGCCTGGCGCAGCAGCCACAGTGGCCCAGGAAGCCTTGCCTGGGAGTGGCCTCGCAGGTAGAGCTGACCCAAGAGGACCCTCACAGACCATCCTAGCAGGACCCTGCCTCAGCCAGCCATAAGAACACCAACCGTGAGCATGGCCCACGACACAGAGAGGAGCCCAGCCACCCCAAATCACCAAGCTTTCTCATCACGGCTTATTATTCTGCCGTAAGATTTTATTGTGGATCAAAAGAAGGAAGCACCGGAGCCTTAATTACAAGAATTGCCTCTTTCGCTCACTGAGACCTCTGCTAGCATAAAAACAAACCGCGGCGTGCCCCGACAGCATCGCGTATAATAGACCGGAACTAGGCAAACATGAGCGTTGATGGTGAGGCTACAGGGCACACTCTCATCTAGGTGCCTAGGATTTATGCGTGTAATATACCCCTAAGTGTGTAAACCTCCATAAAACTCAAAGCAGCTTTATTGAGCTGTACCCTGTGGTACTTTCAGAATCTCACATTGAAGAAATTATTCATTCCAATTTTATTTTAAAACAAACCAAATAATAACATATGGTTGAAGCCGCAAATGCGCCTTTGATCCTTCCCTTGTATGAAGTCGCCAGAATTCCAATGAAATGTGTTGGGAAATCGTTATTAAAAGCCTAATCAAGCCAAACAGTTTTATTGTGTTTTGAAATGAACTGTTTGAGTCTCTCCACCCTCCCCTTCCCCAGGGTACACTCAGCGTACTCATGGGGTCTGCAGAGGCCCCTCGGTGGGGGTTTCCAAGGCAGGGAATGAGCTTCCCCCGCCCCCAACAGAATTGAAACCAATCTTCCTCCCTGCCCTGGTGCTGAACATCCTCTACTCAGTGACCCCCTTTAAGGTCAGCCAGGCCATAAAAGGACACGGACACTGTACCGTTTAGCCGTTCCATTTGGTTGCATGACAGTTGCATTTCTCCACACCCCTGTTTCTTTTCTTCTGCTGCTTTCCCCCCTCCCCCATGTTTGTCCCTTCTCCACAAACAAACTTGTCTAAATTCTGCAACGAGAGCATCGGGAGATGAGCTCCCGAGCGCTCAGACTCCACCTTAGTTGCCCTGGCTCTGTCGCCTTAGAGGACCCGGGGCCATCACTCACCCATCTGGTTTTCTGCTTGGTGAGCAGAGCATGGCACCCTGGCAGTGCCCCGTCGGGCCTATCCTCTTTCCTTCACCTTGTGTTTTCGCTCACGCACCCATACTTTCCAGGGCTGCTTCATTCTGTCCAAGTGTTATTGCCAGAGAGGATTTATGTTGGTGGTTTAAACCTGATGCGGTGCCGGGCTGGCCTTTTCCGTAGATTCCTGCCACCGAGGCCTGCATTAGAAATAACGGCACTTAACCCAGTGTTTCATTTTCCCCTGACATGTTTTATTCTCCTCCTTCACCCACCTTCTTTTCCAGCCTCTTTCTTTTTTTTTCTACCTTCACTCATTCTTTTCTTTGCCCTGGCAGATCTGAGTTCCTCAACCATTCCCTGTGAAGAGGAGGAGGAAGAGGAGGAGGAAGAGGAGAAGGAAGAGGAAGAAATGTACGACGACATTGATGGTTTTGACTCCCCAAAGTCTGGTTCTCAGTGCAGAGCCGTGACCTGGCCTGAGCCTACAGAGGAAGAAGAGGACATTTATGAAGTCCTACCAGGTGAAATAGTTCACCTTCTAATTACCCACTTTCCCCTGCTTTCAAAAACTCTTGACCTGGTGATAGAATGAAGCACTCCCCCAAAGGAATCCTAATCTAAACAACATTCTCTGACCGGGACAGTGTAGGACGTTCATGTCTCCAGTACAGTGGTTCTGCCTTACTCTAGGAGCAAGATGAAGTCCACCAAACTATCTTTCCTCTGTGCCACTAAGATTAAAGGCTAGAGAACACTCCCTCCAGGTTTCCTTGGTTTACAGCGAGTTTGGGGGTGAGTTCTCATAACTCTCTAGTTCTTGCATATTCCCTGTAGACTCACAAGAATGACAGGAAGCTGTCTCAAAGGTACCTCACCTTTCCAAAGTCTGAATTATACAAATGCCAGCAAACCATTTTAGTGATACAGCAGAACTCCGATGGAACACAACTCCTTATCGTCCAAAATCAAATTATCATCTAAGAATAAGCCTCCCCTGGTTGCCCTCGGCCCTCGGCCCGCCGCTACCGCCCCCTCCACGGGTCGACAGGCTCACGAGCGCCTCAGAAAGCGCGCAGTCATCACTGCCTCCTCGGAGCCACTTCTGGTGGGGATCCAGCAGCTGGTGAACAGCGCAGAGCACAGTGGGGGTCAGGCAGCAAAACCAAAGCCTGAGCCTTTTAATTGTGAGGCACTTAGACAATGGGGAAGTCCATTCAGAAAGCGCTCCTATGGAAACTTGCCAGGAGTTTAGTGCGCGCTGCTAAGGAATTCAAATTAAGCCGAAATTTATAGCAATTTAAACCTGCATCCCAGATGAACCTAGGAACTAAGGTGAATCTAACACTTAGGCCCCTGAAGACAGGGCCCCTCATAAAAACATCATCAGAAAATAATCGGGTTTCAAGGCTCCCTAAAAAGATGATCCAACCCTCTTTAGTAGGCGTTCCCTATCTGTCTCTTGCCTGCAAGGGAGGCCACATCATGGCCCCTGAGTCAAGACGCAAGGCTACGTACGTCCACACAACCCCACCAAGGAGAGTCCACTCCTTCCCCTTGCTCCTGCAACCTCCGCCTGTCTCTGTTTCCCCAGCCTTTTTTGTTGTGTTTTATTATGCAAATGATATCTTGGTTGAGGTCGAGCCATTTCTTGTGTCTGAAGTTAAAAAAAAAAGTGATAATTTCCTCAGCAAGTCATCGTCGTTAATGAAGTTTTACAAAAACAGATACAACCAAAGGAAAATAAAATTTCACAGGTGATAAATTTTTCCAATTTCCCTGGCAGAATTCGATAGGATTGTTAAATTAAGAGTGAAGGTGTCTGTTAGAAAGCAACGAGCAGTGATGGGTAATTTTATAGAGTGGAAAATTGAATCAAATTGCTACATTAAAACACAGCTCCTCTGAGAATCTTCCCTTTCGCAGCCTGTGCCGTTGCAACAGCAGGGTGCAGAAACGGATCTAATTCACCACTCTCCCTAGAAGGAGATGCACTCCCCAACTTGGCCAGAAACTTCTCAGTGAGCTGACATTAGGCTCACTCCCGCCCAGGTTCTGGAAAAGATCCAGGCAAGGCTCCGCCCTTGGTTCCAGCTGTGGCAGAGTGCGCTGGGGGGGACATCACCCTGAACCACTCTGCTTTCTGGGGTGCAAAGGAAAGGTGTGTGGTGCCCAAAGAAGTCAGGATGAAGCTAATGCTCAGGGATGGAGAGCAAAGGCAAAGAGGCTTCAGAAAACAGGATGGGTTTGAAGCCATCCCCTTATTCTGGATCAGGGACAAGGAATGTACCACTGACTTCTTAGTGGTACAAGTCTATCTGCCTCCTGAACTCCTACCCTCTATTGGGATGTGGAGAATTCCTCCAAACCTCCTGCTGCTTCTATAAGGAATGGACCCAAGGGCATGGGGGTTAGTTAACGCCCTCAAACAGCCACTAACCCTGTGCACAGAACTCTGCACAGAAAGTGAGGGGGCCACACTATAGAAAAGCCAGGATCTCTTGCTGCAGGCTAGAGGGACAGCGGCTGCCTTGCCTGTGCTTCCAATAAAATATTAATAAAAATAAATTTTAAAAAAGTCACTCTCCACCAGAGTTTTTACAGACAGCGTGGGTGAGAGGTACAGAGGCATTTAATTCTCCCGTGGTTATTCCAGCCACGTGTCTCAGTTGTCCAAGCTTTCTAGCACTCCGCTATTGTTGCTTCGGAAGTTGCTGTGCCAGTTTGGCATATGCCACACCAGAGTCCTAAAGAGATGGAGAAGGACCGTGAGTGGCCTAGTAGCATCTCCCCACCCCAGCACCAGCCACCACCCACTGAAAAACAGCATGTGGGGGACAGCTAGGCACAACAGGCACAAAGCCGGCTGTAAATCAGAGTGGATCTGCCCTGGCACCTGCTAGCCGTGAGAACTTGAGCAAGTTCCCTGCTTCCCCTGTCCCTTGTAAAATGGGAAACGCGATGCAGCATCCCAGAGGGATTTGGAGGGGCGGCGCCTGAAGATCATGTGTGTGCACTTAACCCAGGGCACTGGCACCCAGGGCACTGGCACACGGCAAGCCCTCGGAAGCCCTCGACAAATGATGTCGACACCCCATCAACCTGGTGGTGTCTGATGGGGAATATTACCTCCTCCGAAAGTCAGGGGATGCATAGGTCCCACCCTCACCGGCCAGACCCAAATGCACAGTCCAGTTAGGCATTTGCAGATATATATACGAAGCATGTGTGAACCTGAAAATCCTGAACAGATGGAATGTGGAGAGCACCTTCTGCTCAGCCTCCTCTTTTTATTTCCCCCTACCAAGAGGCCAGGTGCTGGGTGGAGGGGCAGCCAACAGCAGCACGTAGCACATCGGTGGTGAAAGGGCTCAGGTCTCCCGCGTTTGTTTCGTGATAACAGCTGAACATGCTTCGTGTTGGCAAGGCTGTGACCCTGCTCTTTGGGGAGGGCCCTGTGCAAGCAAGTCTGCAAGTCCTCGCTGTGCCTACGAGGAGAGGCTCGTGGGTGAGGCTTCCCTTCCCAAGTGTAATTTAAATGGGCTTTGAGAAGAACGAAAAGAATATACACCATATACCAAGTCAATAAAAAACAATTCCAAACCAAAATAATGCCCGGGTCATCAAGTTAAATGTACAACATCACATTAATCATGAGCTAATTGGCATTTGCTACATGGATAGCACTCTTGTCCCCAGGAGAGAAAACCAAAGCACTCAAGGTTTTTAGCCAGACCACAAAAAAAATTTAGTCCTGGAAAATATGGTTTCAAAATTGGTATCGCCTGGGATTTCTGAACATTCCTGGTGAGTGGGGGGGGGGCTCGAGTTTTAAGTTTACATTTGTAGTAGATTAAACTGCAGAGAATGACCAAGAAGTATGAAAGTCAGACATTAAAGTAGGAGGCTTTGGGGCTGGAGAGATGGCTCAGTGGTTAAGAGCACCTGCCGCTCTTTCAGAGGACTTGGGTTTAGTTCCCAGCATCCACATTGGACAGCTCACAACTCCAGCTCAGAGGATTTCATGCCCTCTTCTGGTCTCCATAGGAACCTGCATATGCTTGATAGGCATGTGTGCACGTGCACACACACACACACACACACACACAAGCATACAGTAATAAATAAATGTTAAAATGAATCTTTTGGGGGAGTGGTTTTTTCAAGACAGGGTTTCTCTGTGTAACAGTCCTGGCTGGTCTTGAACTCACTTTGTAGGCCAGGCTGACCTCAAACTCACTGAAATCTGCCTGCCTCTGCCTCCCAAGTACTGGGATTAAAGGCATGCATGACCCACCACCACCCAGAATAAATCTTTTAAAAAAAAACAGGTTTTCCTAAATCTTTTCTCATCTTCCTTGAAGTTATTCTTCAGACCAGCACAGACCCAGCTCCACAATTTAAGATTCCATATAAGGACATCTTTTATCAGGTCCTGAATCATCTGGGACCTCAAGGCTAGAAGCCAGTAAGGCTTCTGAGATCATAGGAGAGCTGTAACTGGGGCCTTGTAGTACCTATAATGGCAGCAGGATCCAGCTGTGTTCTCTAGAGATTCCCAAAAAAAAACAAACAGAAAGAGATAAAGAGGCCTTTCTGGAAATGTCTGTGCATATTCTGAAGCTACCCACACAGCCCCAGAGGGTTGTTATGGACCCAGAAACCAGATTGCTTTATAATAAAGCATATAACTAGGGTTTTTTTTAAATTAGAGTCAAATGGAAACAACATTCTGTGGGATTATCTTTCCCCCTGTATAAATTGTCTGGGCACACAGGAAAAAAGAATGGTAACAGGAATCTAAAAAATAAAAACACAAAACAAACCCAGGTCCAAAACACAAAATGTAGAAGAATCAGTGCTGTCCCCAGCCTCCTTGTAGCCTCCTGGACTCTTGTCTGCCTCATGCCTGCTCTGTCTGTCTGTCTGTCTGTCTGTCTGTCTAACTGTCTGTCTATCTGAGCAACAGCATGGGGCGCTGCTGGGCCAGCACCAGCTGGAACCGTGGCTGTCCCCCTAATCTCTGCTCACATGTGGCCTCAGATGTGACATCTTCAGACGTGACATCTTCTCAGACGCCACTGAAATTAAGCTCTGTCTCCAATCATGCCGATTGGTATTCATGCCCTTTTCCCCAGTTAGGAAGGACTCAGTTATTTGTGGAATTAAATTCTATGTGTTAAAAGTGTTGCTATTAGCACAAATGGAGTTTAATATCTTCTGCGTCGACCGTACCGTGGAGCTAGGATGGACGTGTTGAGAGGGAACCGTTGAGATTGCCCAGTACACAGCAGAGAATCAGCGTGTTCTCAGCCTCTTGCTCGTGAGCTCTGTGGCTGTCTAGAGAGCTGCTGGAGCACGCAGGGGTCTGCAGCTTGTCCAGGCGTGCCAGGGAACGGTTTATTTTTGTTTCTCTGGATGTTCCCTCTGCACATCAAGTCTCCCTGTATTTCTCTTGCAGCTGTCGCCTCAGCACCTTGACATCTGGCTGCCCATTAATACATCCGCCATTTTTTTTTTTAAAGCTGTCACTTTTTGTTTGGGGAAAATGCTTTTCCCTCTTTTGGATGTGACCATTTTTTTCCATCATTTGTTCTTTCTGGTATCAGTCTAGTCGATGCTGGGGGTGGGGGTGCCAGAGCCACACTTCAGAAAGGGGGTGCCAGAGCCACAGTTCAGAAAGGGGGTGCCAGAGTCACAGTTCAGAAAGGGGGTGCCAGAGTCATAGCTCAGAAAAGGGGTGCCAGAGCCACAGTTCAGAAAGGGGGATACCAGAGCCACAGTTCAGAAAGGGGGTGCCAGAGTCACAGTTCAGAAAGGGGGGAGCCAGAGCCGCACTTCAGAAAGGAGTCAGGTGTCAGGGGCAGCTAGCGCTTCTCTGTCCCTCCTAGGTGGGTTCGGTGTCCTGTTCCTCTCAGCCTCTCATTAGTGTCCCTGACACTGTGCCAAGAATGTTGATTGAAATCGACTCTCCAGATACTGATGCTCATTTGTGATGCCCCATGGTTCCCTCCCATGTTCACACAGTTAACAGGATCTTCTTCAACTGTTTTCCCAATTGAGATGAGATATTTGGGAATCAAGTAGAGCATTTAATGTAATAAGTGGGCAGTAATCTTCAGAGGTTAATTTGTTTAAAGCCTGTGTAAGATTGGGGTCCCATATGCCCTGTTAGGAGCAAGAACCATTATAATCTATTACTGTTTAAAGTTGAGCTAGCACATAAATTTTAATTCTCTCTTAAATGAAGATGTATTTCCATAGATGTAATGCTAAAACGCCTAATAATATTCTTATAAAGAAGTCCAACGAGCTCCTTAACCTAAAATGTATATATTCAAAATGGTCTTTTAAAAGGAAAATCTCAGGCCAACAAGATGTCTCGGTAGGTTAAAAAGGCCTGTCTCCAAGCCATATGACCCTCATGGTGGAAGGAGAGAAGTAACTGTCAAGTTATCCTGTGACCTCCGCACATACATCCTGATGCATGTGAGCACATGTGTGTACATACACTCACACACAAAAAGAACAATAAATAATAATAAAGCCCCCCTTGTACAGAATAACAAAAATAAGAAATTTAACTCCCTAAATTTCATTTCTTCTTTTGAGCAAAAATCCTTTTTACAAGTCCCAGTTACGTTATAGTTGTCTTGACTTTGAACCTTGAGAGGTGCCGGTTTGATTTCACAGAAGGGTCCCGGTCGATCAATTGTATCCAGCAACCTAAGCTAAGAAGGTACCAAGTGCTGCGCTCCTCATAGCCACTGTAGAAGGGGCTTCCTCCACTGTGTGGTGAGACCCCACCCTCAGTCCTCCAGAGATGCCTAGGACACAGCCCCAGGCCCATCGTTAACAAGGCTTCTTAAGTGGAGGCCACTGTCAGCCACAGAGAACAAGGCAGACAGGACAGAAGTGGGGGCCAGAGAACAAGACAGGTAGAAGTGGGGACCAGAGGACAAGGCAGGTAGAAGTGGGGGCCAGAGGACAAGGCAGGTAGAAGTGGGGCCAGAGGACAAGGCAGGTAGAAGTGGGGGCCAGGGTTTCCTGTTCACATCCATCACCATAGGGCCCAGTAATGGTGGCAAATAGCGCACATGCTTAATGGTCAGCATTTTCTTCCTTTCTAGGTGACTCCAAAGGTACAACGGAAATCAGAGAATCTGCTCTGGGATCTGGCAGTGAAGCAAACAGAGAGTCCTTCAAGTTGTCCTTTTTTTTATTTTATTTTTTATTTTTTGTATCATGACTAGATTAAGTGCCTGAAAGGATAAAGGATTCAAGTTTTAGTTTTCATTTTTATCATTGCAAATACATTTACATTCTCCTTTTTTACAAATGCAAAGAGCAGGCAGGCCACTTTCAATAATTTATTTTAAAATCAATGCTAATGAGGTTATGTCTCGTCAGTGGCCGAGTTTTACAATAAAGTCTGATTTATTTAGAAAAGATCTTTGGTGTAGCTTCCCATCTAATGGCGGTGGGAAGGAGGTGGAGCGGCAGGCATGGTGACCCTCCAACTTCGGATCCAATTTGTAATTCACAACGGAGACCTGACCCAATTTACATTGATTCGAATGGGGAGGAAGAGAGCTATGCACGGACAGCAGAGGGAGGGTAACCGCGCTCTGCAAAAGTGCTTAAGCGCAGCACATTATTGGGCCCTGCGACTGAGTTGTTTGATACCAGGAAAAGAGCTGCTCGCTGTCCAAATTATTGGGCATCTCTACAAAGAGGATGCACCAACTCACCCTCTGATATTGTCAGCCCTGTGAAACTGGCCCCGCAGCAGAAAGGAAACACATCACAGCGGACGGAGGAAGGGAGGAAGAGGACAGTGGAGAGGGCTGTGTGAAAGGAATCGTGCTCAGTATGAGTTAGCTCTACGCGCCCTGTTTCCTGCTCTTGATTTCATTCCTCCCTTACCTTACAGCTTTGTACCTCGGGGTCGATTTGGGAAGCACTACAGATGAGAAGCGGGGACGTCCACACTGCTGGACCTTACACAGTAGTAAGAATCCTTCAGAGGGCTAGGGAGATGCTCAGCACTTAAGAGCACTGATCGCTTTTCCAGAGGACCAGGGTTCAGTTCCCACAACCCATAGGGCAGCTCACAACTGTCTGTGGCTCCAGTCCTAGGGAATCCAACGCCCTCTTCTATGGGTGCCTGGCACATGTGTGGTACACATACATATATACAGGTGAAATACTCGTACACATAAAATAATAAAACATTTCTTAAAAAATATTTCTTCGAAGTGCTCCTTTTCCACAGGATGTGGGGCAAGTGCATGTGTGTGTGTTTGTCTGTCTAACTGTCTGTCTGACTGTCTGTGTGGCTGTGTAAGAGGAAAGGAGAAAAGGGGAGAGTTGATGAGAAGAATAGTGAGCCTATTTCTACCTCATATATATATGTATATATACATTAAAACTCTGCATTATAAAATAGGGTTATTAAATGTTACTCTAGTACACATACTTTCTTAATAAAGGCCCGGTTCCTATTATATCAAGTAGTATGAAGCTTGAGATGAAACAGGTTAATGAGGGTAAGAAACTTGGGCCAATCACATTGTGACTTTGGTCATATAAACACTTGACTGGAGTTAGACACCAGCATTGACTTAGAACCCATTGTGAATCCACAGCAATTAATTAAAAGACCATTCCATCTGCCCTCAGGAGCCTATACTCTAATGAACAAGGCAGGCTAAATAAAACAGTAAAAAAATAACTACAGGCCTCAAGTACTAGGAACATAAAACCATGTACATGACCAGCCTCCGATACAGCTGAGCAAAAATGGATGTGTTAAGGACTAATTAATCACAAAAGGTTTAAAACTCACTACCA